TTTTAATTCAATTTAAAATTGAAAAAAAAAGTGAAAACAAATTTTTTCCTAGAAAGAGGGATATTATATCCATAATCTACTTTTTATCTAGATTTCAATAATTAATATTAATTAACCATATTATATTTACCAGAGACCTGCAGGCCCGGCCCTAAGCTTGGGCCGTATTTTAATTTTTTTAAATATACCCGGGCCGGGCCAGAAATTTTTTTTTTAAAAAAAACCCAAATATATGATATCGCCATTATTAGCCATAAAAATCAAAAATAAATAGAATATATTTTTTAAAAATAAGGGGTGGGCTGAAAATTTTTTTTTAAACAAAGCCGGTCCAGGCCGGGTCTGAAAATATAAAATCCGGGCCGGGCCATGCCGAAAATAATTTCTGAAAAAAATCCGGGCCGGGCAGAAAATTTTTTTAAAATAAAATCCGGGCTGGACCTGGCCGTACAAATGGCACCTCTGCAGGTCTCTAATATTTACCATGAAGAGGGGGTGGTATTTCTAACCTAAACGCCACTAAGGTAAAAATGATTTATATAACATAAATAAGAATAACAGAATACTATTCTGTTCCGTACGTTTATATCAGTCTGAATCCCGGTTAAAAATAACAAAATGGATGTTTTTTATGTTAATTTAATACAATACTATTGATTTTAAAATTTATATCTGATTATAAATTTTTAAAAAAGTATATATCCAAATAAATGATTACAAGGGCTTATTTTAAAAATGGTTTTTTTTCCGGGGATTTTTTTTACTATTTTGTTAATTTTCTAAAAATAATTTAATATTATATAGGGATCAAAAAATATGGAAATTATTTTCCGGGAAATTATTTTCTGTGGGATTTTTTTTTCAGGGGAATTATTTTCATAGGGAATTTTTTTCAGGGGAGTAATCTTCCGGGGATTTTTCTTCACGGGGAATTATTTTCCTAGATTCCTTAAAAATAAATTAAACCCGAGTTAAAAATTATTATAAAAAATTAAATTCTACGATTTAACAACAAAAAGTTGATTATATTATAATGATTTATTGTTTAATGTATGTAATAAAATACTTTCGATTTGCTCATGACGATTTTAATTGTTTGAGTTGTCTTCTCGTTTCACTGCGAACTTGCTGTTGACGTATCACAAATGTTAACTTCATCTGATTTCAAATTAGCTGCAATATTAGGATGTTGACTTAAAATATGTCTTTTAAGATTAGCTGTAAAATGCAAATATATTTGAATTATAAGGTTATTAAATCATTTTTAAACTAGGTAGGCTGTGTAAAAATAAAACAATTGGAGGTTGTTATAAAAGTATATATATTCGGTATCGAATTAATTTTAATTTCGCTATAAATCATTTGTTAACTAGGTTTGGTGAATGACTATAAAAATAGAAGAAAAATTATAAGCCTCTTTTTAATTGTCCTTTAATTCATAAGATTTTGTTTGATTAACTAATGAGAGTTGGGCGAAAACAACGGACTAGGAAAAAAAATTACTTGTGAAGATATTTTTCTACAGGTATAGCCAGAAATTTGCAAAAATTTTAAATTGGCCAAAGTCTTTATTAGCTTAAATATAGATTACGTTACACACCCTAATTCTTCTAAAATTTAAATGACGAATATAAAAATTTGGTAGTTGTAACTTTAAAAAGAAGAACCAATAATAAAAATAAAATATATTTAAAATATCTTACATGGAATTGATTTGAGCTTTTTATGGCATGAGCTGCATGTCGCAAAAATATTGTCGTTGTCAAATAAAAAAAAATTAGAATTTACAGAATTTTTTTTCATAATTATAATTTAAAAAATTTATTTTATTTAATAAAGAAAAAAATTTAATTAATGATTAAGTTTACGAGTTTTAATCTTTAAAAAAGTATATATCCAAAAATAAAAAAACGAAACGAAATAATTTTTTTTTCTTTCAGGCAGGGCAGGGGAGGTATAAAAGAAAAGAAATTATAAAAATTGAAAACCATTTGGGCTTTTAATAAAGGGGGATATATTTGGGAGAATCAAGGAATGATTTGAATTGAAATATATATACGTGGGTTGAATTATAAAAGATGAGGTACAAACGTATATGCGCAAGAATTTATTATAATTATATTGAGAAAAATTGTAAAATCAGAGATACAAAGAGATATTTGAAATTTGCGTAAAAGTTTAATATATTGGGATGAAGAAGTATGAGTTGAATTTTAAAAGGAGAGATATTAAAGAGAATATAGGATAATTAATTTGATGTTAATATTGAACTATTTCCCTAAGTTTAAAATAAAGAATCATAATTACAACTGCATTTCGCTACTCGAGTTGGTAGAGTAAAATTAAAATATATAAAATATATTCAGAATAAAAAAAACTGAATTGACCCATTTTAATTAGTTGGGTCTAGAATTTAACAACCCATAATTATATCAGAAACATGGATAGGGTAGTATAGACCTAAATATATATTTTCTAGCGGGCCTAGGCCGGGTTTGGGTTATTTGGAAATTTTATGCAATATGACTTGGGCTGGGCTTGGGCTTAATTTTTTTATTCAAATTTAGCTTATTTTAAGGATATATAATATGACAAATATATCATATCATTCTGATTTTATTGGTGGTTTTTATGACATTTCCTAGACATCTTGGGAAAGTGTTAATTTTGTTTTACTTTTATTTTTAAAATCGCAACTTGCTATTTTATATCGTTGTAAATAGTAAAAGCATGACTTTTACTTAATATTAAAGTGTTGTTAATTGGTTAGTTGTATAAAACCAGAACCGAGGTTTGGGTCTAAAAAATGGACCAAACCAGCTCTGAGCACAGACCCGGAGTCCAGACCCGGAGTCCAGACCCGGGGTTCAGACCCTCATTAAAATAAATTATCCTTAATAATAATTATTAAACTTTATTAATTAATAAAAGATAAAAAGTATAAATTGATATTATAAATTATACTATATTTTGACTTTAGAATAGGCGCATCCCCCCCCCCCCTTAAATAATACGAATATCTAAAAGTATTCTAATTATCTCAATCAAATTTAGGAACTAATGTTATCAAATATATATGTCCAATAGATACATTTCTAAAATTATTTAAAAAATCAATATTAAAAAATAGCGATGAAATTAAAAGAAAGTTAGCACCTCATTCTGAACTAGTAGTAAGGGGAATTGGCATAGCGATACTAATTTATTAAGCCAGGGTATGCTGACACACTTTCTAAGAAAGTTTCCAAGACCCATAGACCGGTCTGTTTTTTTGATTCCTTTTTTTCAATACCGGAAATTATTTTTAAAACTCACAAAAAAAAAGATTTATATTTTGATTTAAAAATTTAAAAAAAAATGAAATAAAAAAATTTATTACTGGATATATAAAATGCAAATGTGTTATCTTATACATAGTAATTACTTATTAATTAGCGAGAGGAAAATATATTATAATAATGTATTATAGTGATCTGCATAGGGCCTAATTTTTCAAGCACAACCCAAAATTTTTAAAAAATGTTTTCCGGCTCGAACCCGATTAAAAAAATTTTACCAGCACAGCCAGCAAAAATTAATTTTTTATAATTATTCATATATTTATATATATTTTAAAAAATTTCCAAGGCACTACCCGACCTGGCCGGAATTTTTAAGATTTTTTTTAGAACCGACAAAGCCCAAACCCAATTTTTTTAAAATATGGGTTTAGCACATCTTTACTATTATATAATATGCAACACTACCTACACTCTCATTGGAAACAGTTATAATTTTATTTTTTTAAAAAAATTTCGGAAGAAAAGGAAGCTTTTCAATAAATTTTTAAATATTTTTTAAAAATTATTTCATTTTTCAATGATAATATTAAAAACTCTTATATCAATCAAAATAAATATTCTTGTAGGCACTCTTTTTTTAATATTTTGCAATCTAATAATAAAGCCATCAAAAATTTTAGAAACATGCTGTGTCAATATTTTTTTCTTTCATCAAGGCAGGAGGAGAGGTATAAAACATAAAAGAAATATTATATTAATAAAATTGAAAAACATCTGGATAAAGGGGTAAAAAAATAAATATCATGAAGATCTTTGAAGATCATTACACAAAATCTTTAAAAAATAAAAGATCTTCAAATTTTACGATCTTCAAAGATCTAGATCTTTTAAGATCGTTGCTCAAATTTTTTTATAAATAAAAGATCTTCAAATTTTACGATCTTCAAAGATCTTGCTCAAATTTTTGAGCTAGATCTCGCTCAAAAATCTTCAAAGAAGATCTTTTGTACAACTCTAATTTAAATAAATTTTACATAGATCTTTGAAATATTATCGAAGCGCTAGTCTACCCAAAAGGGATACTTAGATATGAGTCGTGATTATTAAAAGGTTCCTATATATTGGATTAACTCCGAAATATAAAGATGCATCTCTTAAATATATTGTTCAAAATATTTTACCAGCCACCATCCTATTTGTCACGTCTACGAAATAGTATATCTTTATCTATACCCACATATTTGTTGATTGTTAGATAAAAATCTACGCATATCCTCACGCATAAGATATTAACCTTTGGCGGAGTGATTGAAGTTTATATTTTTTTATAATATATTACATTTTAATGATCATTTAAATAACTTTATTAAACTATATATAACCAATTATCTTAATGCTTTAATATATTTAAAAGTAAAATACAACTTTTTAGACAAAGAATTCACAAATTTTCCCTTATTTAAATTATTAATATTATATATATTTTTAATAATTATATTAAATATTAATCTTTATTTAATATTTTTTTAAAAATATAATATGATAAAACGAAGCATTAGCCTATATATAAAAATTTATAATACTAAATAAATAAAATATATTGATAAATAAATTGAACTGTTTGAATTAAACAAAAACAAAGATCGATTAATAATACGAAATGTAATATTGTCATATATACACGTGATCTAAGAAGTGTCATATCTGAAGGTTAAGTGAGTGAAATGTGACACCCATATTCTAATATATATAACAATATGACTCAAAACGCCAAAGTTATATTACAAGGAAATAAAATTGATTTTAGTTTATCTGATTTAACAACCGTTCCAATAAAATCGATAGTAAATATAAATGAATGTATAACTAATTTTTATTTGCCCTAGCTAAATTTTCCTAGATATATTTCTCTCGACTTGTCTTGCAATAAAATATCTCATATTGGTGTAAGGATTAATAAAATAATTACTTATGATTGTTTTTTTTTTGTTAGACTGATTTTTGTTCGTTAGTACATATTGTAGACTTAGATATAAGCAGAAATTTATTATCAGAGTTACCAGAAGCATTTGGAAATCTTATAAGATTACAACATCTTGATCTAAGTGATAATCATCTAACAAATTTGCCCACCAGTTTCTATCGTCTTTCAAATCTAAAATATTTAGATCTCAAGGGCAACCCATTAAATGATAAATTAAGACCTGTTGCTGGCTTCTGCTTGGATGAAAGTGAATGTAAAAGCTGTGCAAAAAAGGTATAAATTATGCAGATATTTTTATCTAAATAATGAATAGGTAGTGGCACATTACAAAAATATTCAAGCTACAATTGATAAGCAAAAACAAAAAGAAGAACAAATTAGACAAGGTAATCATAAATTTTTATTAAAAATATATGTTTGCTAAATAATGGTTGATTTCAAAAATAAAAGAATAAATCTAATGATACATATTTAATAGTTTTTTGAAAATGAATAATACTTGTTAATACTGTTTTATCTATGGGTCATTTTATTACACATTGACGAAAAGCTATAGTTTCTTGGGCATATTTTAAATCAAAGGATATCTTGCAAGCAATTCATTTTTTTAAAAAAAATATTTTGATTTTTTATGAAGATATTAGGGCTAAATGTAAAATAGGTATCTTACCTATTATGGCAAAATACACAAAAATAAAGATTACTCATAAAATTTTAATGATAGAAGCTTATTTTTGGTATCATTAGAAAACCCATGAAATTATCTTAAAAATTAGGCCAGATTTGGAATTTAAAAAATAACTTACAAAATAATTTCTCTCATTTAATCAAAATTAAATGATAATTAGATTTTGATAGTGACAAGTCAATTAATGATTTATATATCATTTATTGTGTAGACTGTCAACTTTTTCATGAGAGCAGAAAACAAAAGATCAATTAATATAGATATCAAAATAATCTATAATTCATTCCAGTTGTTTCAAAATGTCGATTATTTGAACCCTAAGCTCTAGAATTATTTAAAAAAGGAGAAAACAATATAATACTGCTTATTTATTGGAGTCACAATATCAAGACTAGCATTTTACAGTAAATTTATTGAAGCATGTGATATATTACAAGTTTTAGTTAAAGGTATGATCACTGATATTTCATGATATCTTAAATTTCAATGTTAAAAGTGGCATTTCATGATATCATTAACTTCAGTGGTAAAAGTGGCATATTTAATAGCAAAAAATGTATAAAGCAGTAAGTTCTATCAAAAGCAATCAGATTTTGGTACATATAATGGGCTTTGCCAAAAAAGTGGCATTTCATGATATCATTAACTTCAGTGGTAAAAGTGGCATATTTAATAGCAAAAAATGTATAAAGCAGTAAGTTCTATCAAAAGCAATCAGATTTTGGTACATATAATGGGCTTTGCCAATTAAAAGAAGTGGAATTTTAATAACAATTTCTAGTTTTACTTGTTCAGAAAGAAATTGGTCAATTTTTGCCCATCCTGGGTTTTATATTTTTGAGCCCCTCAGTTTTTTTTAAAAAAATTTTTAGGCTTGGCCCATGCAGGGATTTGCTCAGAATTAGGATTATCAGAAGTATCTTTATAAAATCAAACAATGTCAATTTACAGCACAAAAAAACGATGTTGGTGTAAAATAAGAGTTTATGGAAATAGCCTGAGGTTATGGTATTCTGAATACTTTGATCATGATTCTAAAATCTAAGGCCTGCTTAGTCAGGCTGCATGCCAGTCTCCCCATTCAACATTCATCTTAGCCAAAGTTTTGATCCCAATCTTTAATATATAAATCATATTCTTTGCTATATGAACAGCCCTCTCTGCCATCCCATTAGAGGATGGGTGATAAGCAGGAGTAAAAATATGTATAAATCTCTTACTTTAAAAATTTTAAAATCATAAGACCTAAAAGCTAGTTCATTATCTGATATCAAATCTATTTGATAACCGAATCTAGAAAAAAACTTTATTTAATTTAATTATCGTGGTAATGGTGCTAATGTTTTTAACCTTGATAATCTCCCGCCATTGTACCCATATAATTATCAGACCATAAATTTTTTTAATACGTCTAAAAAAATTCATGTAAATTTGATACCAGGGTAGGTATATCAGGCTGTACCCAGTGATTTTGCCTAACTCTTGGTAATGTAGATGCATTAGTCATACAAGAATTACACCTAAACACTATTTCTTAATATCTTTAATAACTCCTGACCACCAAAAATATCTTTTCATTGTACCTATCATCCTGAATTTATCAATGTGCTCTTCATATAACACATTAAATATATATTTTCTTAGTTCTTGCGAAATAATAATTTGACTTACTTTAATCATCTTTTATGTTTAAAACATTTAAATGTGTTTTATACTCCTTAATTCTGAACATACCTAAAACGAACGAATATTTGTTTTTCGATTTGGTCCGTATTTACAAATAACACAATTATTCAATTCAAATATTCAAATCAAATTCGAATAAGGAAAATAATTCATCGAATAATTTTTTATTCTAGATTATTTGACTAAAATTATTTACAGTATTAATAAATATTGGAAAATAATCATACATTATTAGTAGTTATTATTGAAATTATTCCTATTTAATAAAATTTCCTATTGGAATAAAGAAACATTTTATATTTCTAAAATTGTTGTTAACGGCTGTTTTTATTTGAATAACCTTATAATACAAAATTAACTTCCGAACATTGTTTTATGATGGACGAAGAAAGTATTTATTTTTATATGCAATTTATAACACTATACAGATATAATAAACTAGTATCTATCCTGTCAAGAATGACTGGTGAACCGGATATTTATCCTACGTTTGATGATGGAGAAATCATAAATTTGACTTTTTGCCTAAAATTTTTCACTTTATTTGTAAAATATTGCTAATTGTGAGTTTTGCATACCTTATTTTAGATTGCATAGCTTTTTGATGATTTATTATTTTCCTACAATTATTTGTTCATATACAACAGAGTTGGGCAGGTCCTCTTGAAAAAGAATCTAAATACATACAGATTTGTGAAAAAATGAATCTTAGATACAGATACTAGTATCTTTTTCAAAATATCAAAAAGAGACAAGATAAAAGATATTTGTATCTTTTACTTAATTAGAGTATCTTAAATACAAGATACTTTTAAATTATCATTACCAATTAAATCAGAATAGCTTATAAAATATAGTTTTTACTATTTATTTGTGAAGAACATAACATACACATATAATAAGAATGAATATTTACAATAATTAATAAAACATTTAATATGAGTTAATTATAATAATCAGGCATTTTAATATTAGTATTAGCCATTCTTAGCATAGATTGAGAAGGGAGACTAGTATTTTTAATGGGAGTTGAAATATTAATTTGTAAAAGAGTATTTAAAATACATTCATTATAAGATAATCAAAATTTTCAAATAATTTATCATTAGACCTTTGTTGTTTCGGCGTATTTAACATTTTTACCAAAACTAAATAACCTTTCAATTAGAGCTGATGAAGGTATTGCAGTATTATAATGTAAAAAATTTCCTTAATAGAAGGATAATAATTAAGCATTTATATAATATTTCGACTTAATAATTTAAAATCTCCAGCCAATGTTATTTGTATTATTGAACTCAGCACCATTTGTTTCACCAAAAGAAAAATAATCATCATTTTCTTTATTAGATGTTAATCATTGGTTTTATAGTTTGAACTTTATTATTTACTCTGGTACTATATTTAGGACTTCTTTTATTAATATATTTTGAAATTATTTTTTTTATTACACAACTCAAACCATAAGTTCTAAAAATATGGATGTGATATTGATGTCAAAAAGCCACATTATATTCAAATCATAGGAAAATATTTTCTTAAAATCTTTTAAATATACCATCTTGGGCAGTTTTAAAGGTAGACAATGTTGTAAACTTGAATGTTTAAGATAACCTATATGTTTAACAAAATTTGTGTTTAACCCTTTATTATTTTTTTGATTATACAGGTTTTACATTTGGGTCATTCCATGTCAAATCAATCACTTTACAACCCGACCATCTCAGATTTTGTTAAAATTTGGTATTTAAGTTAGTAAAGTATTGTAAGTGACGAATCCAAAATATTAGACTCTTAACTCTATTAGAACCGGAGATATAAGGCTTCAAAGTGGCTCAGCTTGGTCATTTTTTGAAAAAAATGAATTTTTAAAATTGGGATAACATTTATACTAGATGCACTATGTATATCTATTATGGCTCATTTTATAGCTCTAAGTAAACTCTTGAACGTATGTTAAATAAAATTAATTTTTAGTTTATATATTTTTTTTAAATTGCGGTTAAAAATTTGTGATTAATTTTTTAAAATGTTAGACTAAAATTTTTTTCCCAAATTTCAGATATTTTGTAAAGATTACCAAGAACTGTTCATAAAAAAATTTCAGAGTGGGCCCAAAAATATTAATTAGAGAAAATCTCATTTTTGAAAAATCCGCTAGATGGCGTCGGTAATTTAAAATATCAATTTTAACAATATAAGTCAAATTTTTTTTATTCCTTAATAAAATATATATCGAATAATTAATAATAGTAAGCTTAAAATAATTTTAATTAAATTTCTTTAAATTTAATTTATATATTGCCAAGTTAGATTCATCATTAGTTAAAGTGTATGTTCTTCCGGTGGCTGTCAAGGGGTTGACAATTGTGAGAATATCATATATCGGAATAATTAGAATATCTGGTATTGATGAATAATAAAAGGATTGAGAAGGTCCTTTTGGATGTAAAAAAATTACCTTTATTTCAGCATCGCTAATAATATCTTGAATGTATGCTACCCACCATTCATTATCATATAAACATGTAACATACCCTTTAATATCTTTAGTTGATATTTCGCTTATTATATTTTGTATTTTTTCTAATTTGGCTTCAATAGCACTGGAATATTTTTTTGTATTTATTTGTGATAAATTAACAGGATAGACTGCATGAATTTTTTGAGTACCAGGAATTGAAAGAGCTCTTGCAAATCGTTCCGCTAAAAATTCTTGCTCATCTTGGTATTCTTTATGGGTTGTATAGGAAAAATAAATATTTTTTATATTTTCCTCAGCAAATTTAAAGAATTCATAGGGAGATTTTATTTGATTATCATAAGGACGTTGTAAACTGGCCCGCGCAGCCAAGCTTTAACGGTTCCCCCTATTCCATCGCAAACATTTTTCCCATGGGCAGTAGAAAAAAAATGCCATTCTGCTGGGATGGCGAAGTCTACTTGATGATAACACAAATTTATAAAATTTTTCCTATTTTTATATTGAGCCGCGGACCCATCGGAATAATA